GATAACCCAACTGAAAACGTCTTTGGGCACCTCAGCATATAGAGAATGAGAATATAGAACTCATTATTGGGTATATTGCCGGACGGGTGGTCAGAAGTTTAACAAAAAAGATTAAGTGTGAAATTTGTGTAAACAGTCTGGTTAGTAATAAAAAAATATTCTTTCATAAACTGATTGAATTAACAAATATGGGCGGACTTTGCTTTCCTTCTCCGGACCTGTTTGATGTTGTTGTATGCATAGAAACCGAAAAAAATATAAGACACAATAATAGACCCCAATTTATGGCAAAAAGTAACTATATGTTTCTATCAACAAATACTCTAGCAAAGTTTATACGAAAGAGCACTTTCACTGTTTTAAACTTGCACTCTGTTGATGAGCCGGCAACATTGAATCATAGATTGCACCTTATTCGAGCCATAATTAAGAAGTATATAAATGTCAGAATGCATCACGGGTCTATCATGGAAAACACGGGGAAGGGAACTGAAAGACAAATATTTAAAAAAAATTGTTTTATTTGTAGGACAATAATTGTAATGTTATACACAAAAATATCCAAACTTTTTCGTCTTTTATTTTCGGCTTTTAAAATATTCTAATACTTAATTATTATAACAATAATATTACATATAACAAAATTAACTTGTTTACAACTTCAACTAAAGCTCTTTGAGATTAATTTGTTTTACTTACGGTTTCTTTGTTACCTGTAAAATATCATAGCAAAAAGGAAATCGTTATATGTATCGGCTTGCAACTTGAGTTATACTAACCAACTACGATAAAATGTGATAAAAAATCATGTATGTATATACAAAATTATGTCGTCGACCTATGCAAGGCAGTTACTCACGCACAATACAGAAATTCTCGATATTGTGAGGTTAATATTAAATAGTAAAAGGACCCAATAATAATACAAGTCAGTTGACCTTAGAATAAAATTACGGTATTTTCGCCTAGTTTTATTAGGAACACTATGAAATATTGGAAAAATTGTATAATTATATTACGAAATCCGACCCTGGTTACGTCGCGTTATGACGTTTGAATTATGACAGATGCGCTCCTTTTTCTTGTATGAAAATGTTATGAGTAAATTATTTATATGGGCCTATCCTTACGCTAGTAATATGTAAGTCAATGTTTAACTTGTGTAGTAAATTATATCTATTAAAATAGATTATCTATTTTAATAAATATAATTATAAATCTGATATTTCATTTAATAAACCGTTGATTTATATAACACTAGATCAGTAATAACCGCGCCAAAGCGTTGCCACTGCACATATGGCCACAGCCATATGTCTAGCTAACGTGAGTTCATTGTTCAATGTGACGCCGACAGAGTTGAGCCGCGACGAAAATGGATAAATGCGTAGTGAAAGAATGCTATTCAAGGTCACAAAAACGTAATAAATCAAGCGGAATCACTTTCAACACATAATTTTTGGTTCTTGTTTTATACAAACGTAAAAAACCTCAAATAATTAAATAAAATTGTCGAATATTGCCATTTAGGTTCAATGTTGCCACTTTTTCGTATTTGTGATTATCCTACATTAATGGGAGATTGGGAGACATTACATTATTATACATTAATTAATGGAGTAAGTTAATTTGTTACCTCTGATTTTAAATATTTTGGAAATTATAATAAAAACTACGTTTTAAATTTCATACAAAATAATTAATTATTCTTATTTTAGTTTATTCATGAATTATCTATTAAATATGTTTTATTACCTATTTTATATTAATAATTTTATATTATTTATAATTTCATATAAATTTTATATTAATTATATTTTATTACCTATTTTATATTGTTTGTTTTATTAGTACCATAAAAATACGTTTTATTTCATCATTATGTTTACTTCTATTCATCTGATAAGCTTTGTATCCTTTTTTTCTAAGGGGACGTAATAAAGATTTGAAAATAAAATATACTTTTTAATATAAAAACAATTAACTGCAGCTTAAAAAGAACACATTTATATTACGTATTTTAGGTAAAATTTCATATAGTAAGCCACACCAACCCGCCATTGCATGTTTGTGTGTCTATCTTTATCTAATCTTAGCGACGATATTGTTTTCGCAACTTGTGTAAGTGAGATAGATATATGTTTACTTAAAATTGTTATTAGTTTCAAAGCTACGTCGTCGCGTTTGGATAGTGGTTACACTTTTTTCGATGCGCGGTAATGTGGTTTGCTCCTCTAGTGTTGTATAACTCAATGTAATAAACTATGATGGCTACACTTGGTATTGGACGAAAATATTCACAAAGTACGAATTTTAATGATAAAAGTACCTGGTTGACCGAGCTTTGCTCTGTATTTTTTAATTCGTGTGTTTTGGAAATTATATTTAGATACAAATTACATACTGATGAAATACGAATAATATTTTTTGATCTTAGCGACATAATAGAAAAAACTGAACTGGTTATTTGAATAAAAATCATGAGTGCAATTAGTTTAATTTAAATTTTCGTGTTTCTAAAAATACTAAAAAAAGGGCTCGAAAAAAATAGATTTTCTCAAAAAAAGAAAGGAACTTGAAAAAAAATTAGTCGGTCTGGGCTCGAACCATGGTATTACGATTCTATGACCGCCCAATATAACAATTAAACTATTTGTAATTATTAATAAACTGTCAAAATTTACCGTCTTATTCTAACGATATTGTAGCAGTTTTTCATTGCCTAAAAACACGGACAAAAAAGACATTTTCTAAAAATAAATCCTAGCTAGATCGATTTATTGCCCCCGAAACTCCCTGCACGCAAAATTTTATGAAAATCGTTGGAGCCGTTTCCGAGATTCCGATTATATATGTATATATATATATATATATATATATATATATATATATATATATATATATATATATATATATATGTATACAAGAATTGCTCGTTTAAAGGTATAGGATTACTTTAATATTATGTTTTTTTTTTAAGTAACTATATGGCCCTTGGTATTGTGATAATGTCACAATAATTCTGCCAACGTCCGGTCTTCGGTCTGACACACCTTGTCTTGAGGCTTTCCGGTGGAAAAGGAGTTAGTGGTTATTAGGTGAGAACTTAATATTATGTTAAAAATACTCACAGATGCTTGACGTTTGACGTTTTTTGACTGTTTTTTTTTTCATGTAAATACACTGCCATTCGGCACTTTGTCGGAGCTCGATTTACTGGCGCGATCACTTCGGAATGACACTGTTGTGGAGAGTTTTTGAACTGTTATTTATTGCTTACAGGTGGACACTTTTTCAACTATTCTCCTATGAGAGATTGTTCTCCTTACCTCTACACTCCATAAAACAAACTATGGAGTGTAGAGGTATGGAGTACAGACTCTGTATAAAATAGTGTCCGTAGGAAAGCGCTAGATAAGGGCGGCGCCACTGTAGCTAGAGCCTAAATTTTAAAGAACTTTTTATAATTTTTTTATTGCACAGACTTTCACCATAATTCTTTTTACAATAATTATTTTATTGCTTTGAAAATTTTTATTTTCAAAATCACTCTCAACGTATTTTACGGCGATTTATCATTCCCTGTAGCTACTCGAGCGCAGTTGTGGAGAGTTTTTGAACTGTTATTTACTGCTTACGACTGAACACATTTTTAACTGTTCTCTTCTACGATAGGAGCATAGGAGTAATAGTATGCCGTGATTCTCCTATGGGAGATTGTCCTCCTTACCTCTATATTTCACGAAAAAAGATCGATTTTAAATTGATTCTAATCGAGATCTGATGAATCGATTCACAAAAAAATCGGGGTCTAAAATTTCGATTTCTCAAAAATCGATCTTTTTTCGATTTGCTTTCAGAGTTTAGGTTTAGGTTTAAAGCGTTTATTATCTCAAAAAAGAACAAATATTTACTTATATGAGGCTTAAAAAATAACAATAATTGGTAAAATTATACATTTAAATACGGTGACTTTTATGAATAAAGTTACCTAAATATACCATAATTAGGATTGAAAAGCACTGTCTTTGAATTAACGTTTGAAAGTGCTTTTTTAATTTATTTTTGAAAACGATTTTTCATGAAATACCTCATTCGGTAGGCTATTGTACAAGTGCTCCCGCAAACTGAATAGTTTTCGAACCAGTTTTAGTTCTAGCTTTTGGTAATTGCAGTTTATGTTTGTTTCATGTACAGTGTTTATGTGATTTCGTTTTAAGATTTTGATTTTTAAGATTTTGAGTTTATATTTGTTATATCAAAATATATAAGAAAGTACAGATTATAAGCTTAACTTATTTTTTATTTCTTTGATTCATTAGGAAGAGACGAAAGAAACTGATCACACAGCAGTTTTGCAAATTTTCGAAAAGAAAAACTGTTATTCTTTACGAGTGTGGGTACATTCAACGAATTATAAATCATTTTACAGTTTTTATAAAAACAGTAAAAGATATGGTCTCGATTTTCTAGGGTGAAATATCGACTCAGTACTATATAAAAAATCGATCTTTTTGGCACAAGAAACCGATGCTTCGATTAATCGATCTCAGATCGCCATCCCTATTTTTGTTTTATTGTTATTGCGCAGATTTATGGGTGTTTTGTTCTTTTTTGTTTTGCTTTTAAAATGGCTAGTAGCTAGTAGCTTGCTATAACATATTTATTTGTCTATGATGGCTAGTGTTAAAAATTTTACAGAAACTATTGAATTATGTCTTATACCTAAACTCAGTAAGAACTTTGATGAAAGCGAATATCACAATGAATTTAAAAGTCGTAATTTAAAGTTAGATGAACATTTTCAAATGGTTTTAAATAAAATAGAAGAAATAAATTTAAAAGACTTGGGTGTTGAGTCTGAATATATATTATCACACCTTTTAATTTTATATTATGAGCTTCTGAGCAATGGCCCATGGAATAGTGAACAATGTTTAAAATTAAGTCAAAAGTTGAATAGTTATGTTGAATTACTTTATGGAATAAGTCTCTCCAATATGTTTGTGTATAATAAAATATTTAATTATCAAGCTATATTTGACAAGTCTGTTGAAAGCTTGCATAGCAAATTAACTTCCAGTGATTTCAAGAAATATCCTGCTCAAATTGAAGTGTACAACAACATAGTAAAAAATTTAAAAGTATGATATTAAGATGTCATGCTTTGTGGCATGACTATGAAGGATTTCCTTAATTTTTTTTGCTGTAAAAATTGTAATCTTATAATATTGCCATTGTAGCAATATAGATGGTAGTTGTGTCAGGTAGAAGATTTTTGGTATTACCAACCGAAGAGTCAGAAAGTCACAAATCAAAAAAAAGTTAGAACTGCTCTTATTACCTGTAAAAGAGTGTACATTTGAGGACATTCATTTTCCTTGATTTATAACCATATAATCTCTTATTCAAAAATCTTGGTAGTCATGCCAAAAACTTCTACCCGGCATGGCTACCACCCCTGCTGGAATATCAAAACTATATAAGTACATATTTAATTTCACAAGTATTTTAAAGTAATAATTTCTCATTAATAAGTACAGCAAAATAAACGAAATCTTCAGTGGCCGTGCCAGAAAGTATGACACCTATTATGATATGGTTTAAAATGTTACATTATTCAGTATTAGAAATAATTAATTTATTCTTTCAGTTATATGATGTTGATGTGATTCCATCAAAAGTTTTACCAGCATCCCTACTTCTAATTAATGATTATATTACGGACAATAAAGTCAAAGGATTGCAATGTTGTATTTCAGTTTTGCAGTGCTTGGTAAGGAATAAAAATTAAATATAGCCATAACATACCTAGCCTACCTAGGTACCTATCCTATGAATATTTTAAAATTTGGCACAAATTTTCAGTAAACAATAATTACTTTTAAAAACTACCTACTTAACCCTTAACCACCTACCAGCGGTCTCAGAGACCGCAACTAATATTTGATTTCAAGTTTTTCCATGTGTGCATGTCATTCGGCCGTGCACATCTGTTTACCTTTTCTACACGTCTAATAGTATTGCCTGAGCGCTCGGTGAGTGAATACATGCGTGCGTTTGTTCTGGGTGAGTAAAAATATTTCGCAAGTGGTCTCCATGACCGCACGTAAGTACTTGTCATTTTTTTGTGTTTATATATTTTTATTGTTTTAGTGTCAAAATGAATAACTATAACCTTACCATTATTTGCATTTATAGAATACTGGATAGCAGCAATGTTATTCTATTTTTTTACAAATTAAATGAGCTTTTATATCATTTAACAAACAAAAAAATGTGCAAAAAATATATATTATGTGGCAATTGGAATATAGATATCCTCAAAGAAGGAAAAAATATGTACGAGCTATTTGAAATATTAGAAAGTTACAATATATCTATCCATATTAAAACCCCTACTAGGAAAAATGCATGTATTGATCAAGTAGCCAGCAATATAAGCAAGGTAGATGCCGAGATCTTAAACCTGGCATTATCAGACCATGAAACAGGTCAAGCCATATCATTTCAAATTCAAAGAAAATCTACTGTAACAACCTGGCATGAATTTCGCAGAGACTACAGTAAAGAAAACATTCAAAAGTTTTCTGACTGTCCATCGCATCTCTCCTTTTCGGAAGTGTATGATCAGACCAGTGTTGATGAGGCCTATAGATCATTCCATAACTTGTTAACTCTATTTCATGGACTTTGCTTTCCTATAATTAAACTTACGAGAAACAACATGTGTAATAGAGGTAGGTGGTAAACAAAAGGTATAAAAAAGTCAAGTATTACGAAAAGAAAACCTTACCTAACCTATAAATACTCAAAAACTAATAAAATGTTAAATAAAAATAAATACCAAAAATATAACTATCTTTTGAAAAAGTGCATAAAAGCTCAACAAAAACCAACTTAAAATACATTCTTAATAGTAAAAATACTTGCAAAGCTGTTTGGAATTCAATAAATTCAAGTATAAATGAAACTACCCAAATTAATAAAATTGACGTAATTAAATTTAATGACCAAACAATTAGTAACCCTGGCATGATATGTGAATTATTTAACAATTTTTTTATTGACCTAAGTAACATCAATAATACAAATAAGTCTGGTAACAATTCTGCTCAACCAAATATAGATACAAATCCAAATACAATTTTCTTACAACCAACAATTTAAGAAAGTTTTAAGCGGAACTTAAGAAAATAATCAAAGAATTAAAAAACACAAATTCAGTTGGCTACGACCTTCGATCAACAATACCAACTAGATAACGGGTCACTTACAAAATCATAGCTAAATACTGTCCGCGTGAATATAAACTTAAACAGCTACATCTGTTTACTAATGAGACAAAAAATTAAAATAGTTTTAAGTTCAACCTAATTACAACCATCGCATCTAGTAATGAAGTCACAAATCTTACGATCATTAGTCACAAAAATAAGAGATCACGTCTTATGTGCGCTCTTATTTACTGAGACGGATTTCTTGTGCCGACCCGACATCTAGTTGTTATTGTTGATCGTAGGCTACGACGAACTCAGTACCAAAATACTAAAGTCATGAGCCTGTTATATCTGTACACCACTGAGTTTCCTTATAAACCTATCATTTGTCGAGGGCTCATTCCCGGAACATCTTAAGATTTCTTTAATAAAACCAGTTCACAAAAAAGGAGATGAAAAAGATCTCAATAACTATAGACCAATAACTTTGATCCCCGTAATATCAAAGATATTTGAAAGAACTATGTACGATAGACTAAGTAAATTTATACAAAAATTTGGTATCTTAACTGAAGATCAATTCGGTTTTCGCAAAAACAGATCCACGACTTTAGCATGCTTCAATTTTATTAAAGACATAGCGGAGAGTATCGATAGAAAAACTCCTGTAACTGCTCTCATGCTGGACATGACCAAAGCTTTTGATCTTGTTGACCATGAAATTCTATTAAAAAAAATTGAAAGTTACTGGATAAGAGTACAGTTACTTGCAAGGCCAAAAACAATGCACAGAAATCACTTGGCTAACGCAAGCACGACAAGACATCATATTTACCAAAGAACTGCATCGTTCACAGTTAAGATTCAATGACCGTGGTATCCCTCAGGGTAGTATTTTAGGACATTTAATCTTTTTGCTATATATTAATGACTTGTCTAAAATAACCAATCATAAATGCATCTTGTTCGCAGACGACACAACTTTTATATTTAAATGCACCAAAAAAGACATATATTAAACCGAAATAAATAATTCTATTAATACTATTGCGACTTGGCTTAATTCAAATAATCTTTTACTTAATATTGACAAAACAAAAATAATACAAATTGGGAATTACAAAACGGAACCTATAAATATGAATATAAAATATGAAAATTCGAAGATAGTTATGTTTTTAGGTATAAAAATTGACAAAAATTTAAACTGGAAGCCTCACATTGACCAGATTTGTACAAAATTAAACCGGTTTGTATATGCTTTAAAAAGATTGAGAAAAACAATATCACAAAAAGCAGCCCTAGCTGCTTATCACGGTTATGTGTCGTCAGTATTATTATATGATCTGCTTTTGTGGGGAAATTCTGTTGATATGATTAGAGCGTTTAAATTACAAAAGAAATGTGTGCGAGCGATATGTGGTGCGTGGTTTCTTGATAGCTGCAAGCCTTTGTTCAAAAAGATACGCATATTGCCGTTGCCATGCATGTATTATCGAGAAATATGTATTATTGTAAAGCGACACCCGAACTACTTCAAAACCCACGCTGAATCTCTCGAAAGGCAAACAAGGCATAAAAATAGATTATTTCATCCCAAATGCAGTGTGCTCCTATAATGGCTATTAAAATATCTAATAAATTGCCCAATAACTTAAAAGAAATGCCTTTGAATAAATTCGAAATTGAGGGTTAATAAATGGCTTCTTGACAAGTGTTATTATAGTGTTAAGGAATTTTTTAATTAATTGCTATATTATTTAATGTATTATATAATTTATTTAATCTTTTGACATATATGTACAATTAAATTTGATTATTTTAAGATATATTTGCACACAGGTACAACTCCCGGTAGAATATTATTGAAACTTACTCTTATACTAAATACCTGTATTACCTAAACATTTTATTCTGCAAATAAAGATTTTGACTTTGAATCAAAATGATGAAAATATACAATGATGGCTGAAGCCATCATCTGACATCTCTTGTTGAAGCAAGAGATGTCAGAATCAAAAGATGAAAATAACATCTGAGGAAGAAATACCGGATAAAGATTGCAGCGACGTAGAACCAGATATAAATGAAGATCTAGTGTAAGTTGAAGGCTGTGAATCGGAGTCTGAACTAGAGGGTGACGCTGATGAGACCACTCCGTTGCAGCCGGAACCAAGAGTTCTACATCGACACAAGAGAGTTACTCTTCTGAAGATGTTCCACTTTCGCAAATGCAATCTAGAGGTAGGCCAAACAAGAAAAATTAGTTTGGCTCTACTCTGTTTCGCTGGGCATCTGTACCCAACATCGCTCACTCAAGAACACCTCATCATAATATTGTTCAACAAAAGCCAGGTATGAAACCAGATTTTTGTGGAATTCTCAATATTTCTACTACGGCCTTGAACATATGGAGTCTTTTATTTACTGAACAGATGCTTGCCAAATAAGAAATAAGAAAGTTAAATAAGAAAGATTAGGCCAAAATACAAAAACAATCTTGCGTACAAGATTTGGATCTCATGGAGCTAAAAGCTTTTGTTGGAGTTTTGTTTTACAGAGCCATTTTCAAAGAAAATCACGAGCACTATACTTCATGGTACAACACAGATGGCACTGGAAGAGAAATTTATTGTTGCATATTGAGTAAAAATAGGCTAGAAGTTTTACTGAATACTATTCAATTTGATGATGTTGAAACTAGAGAACAATGACATGAACTGAATTTGTCTGCTCTTATTTTAGAACTTTTTTAGTGTTTTATACAGAATTGTCAAGTAGTTTACACGATCGGAACTTGTGCTTGTGGAGATGAGATGCTAGTGGCTTTTCGCGGTCGCTGTAAATTCAAAATGTATATGCCAAAAAAGCCGGCAAAATATGGCCTAAAGCTTATTTGCCTTACAGATGCAAGAAATGGCTATCTTGTAAATGCTTACATATTCATCGGCAATAACTCTGATGGGCAAAATTTGACCCAGGAACAAAAGCGACTATCAAAACCACCTCAAGCTTTTTTACGCCTTATCCCACCAATTGAAAATTCTAATAGAAACGTCACCGCTTACAACTGGTTTTCTTAGCTGGTTAATGTTCTGAAAAAGAAGCGCCTTATGTGGGTACTTTAAAAATGAATAAGCGTGAAATACCGCCAGAGTTTAAGCCATCCAGCGGACGGCCAATATAGTCTACAATCTTTGGTTTTACCAAAGACATCACCTTAGTCTCTTGCGTACCAATCAAAAATAAAGTGTTGAGAATAATACCAAGAAACCTGAAATTATATTATATTATAACACAGCGAAAATAGGATCTACTTGACCAAGTCGGACGCGTGTGAAACACACCGAAGCCTAAATCGCGCTATAAAAGTTCCGAATCATAAACAGCGTATATAGGAACTATCACACGGAGCGTTGGCCGCTCCCCGGGCAGAACACCTTGCCCGGCGGGAGATCTCCCCTTTTCCTTCTACGGCCACAGCCTTTGACCATATTTTATAGAATGTTGGATATCTCTGCTTCAAATGTTTATGTCATCAGCAGGAGCAACCAAGCCCAGAAGGCTGAAAAACAATTTAAATTTATTAATAAGTTGGCAGAACAGCTAATAAGACCACACATGGAGCATCGCGAAAAAAATGATCACATTCCGAGGGACATAAAGAATTCTATTCGTCGTATTCTACAAATTACTGAAGAATTACCAAGTGCTTCTAATCCCGAAAAGTTTGAAGTTCGTAAAACATATTCCACATGATATCGAAAGCGAAAGCGTCTCATATACTTATATATATATATATATATATATATATATATATATATATATATATATATTGCAATTGGATGATTTGTGCATTTGGTGATGAAGCCCCATCCAAAACCACATTTATCGCTGGTTTGCTGAATTTCAACGTGGACGTGTCAAGCTTAGTGATGATCCCCGTCAAGGTCGTCCAAAAACTGCAGTCACCCAAGAAAACAATGCTGTGCGTAAGCTGATTGAGGAAGATCGACATGTGACATACCGCGAAATTCAGGCATCTTTAGACATTGGCATGAGTCAAATACAAATCATCTTGCATGAACAATTAGGCGTAATAAAGTTGTTTTCCCGATGGATACCGCATTCGCTCTGTGAAGAGCAAAAAGCGGCTCGCGTTACTTGGTGCGTCAGAACTCTCGAAAGATTTCACGCAGGATCCCCAAATGCTGTATACAACATCGTATCAGGTGACGAATCCTGGATATACGCGTACGAACCCGATACAAAAAACCAGTCACGAGTTTGGGTGTTCGAAAATGAGTTAAAGCCAACAAAAATTGTTCGTTCACGGAGTGTTGCAAAAAAAATGGTGGCCGCGTTTGTCTCCAAAACCGGCCATGTTATGACTATTTCTCTTGAGGGACAAGAACGGTTAATGCAGAATGGTATGCTAGCATTTGTTTGCCACAGGTCGTTTCTGAACTCCGTAAAGAGAACTGCAACCGCCGCATCATCGTCCATTACGACAATGCGAGTTCTCACACCGCACACAGAACAAAAGAGTTTTTAGAGCAAGAAAACATAGAATTATTAGACCATCCGCCGTACAGCTCCGACCTAAGCCCTAATGATTTTTATACTTTCCCTAAAATAAAGAATAAATTGCGTGGACAGAGATTTTCATCACCTGAAGAAGTTGTCTACAAAACGGCCATTTTGGAGACCCCAACTTCCGAATGGAATGATTGCTGCAATGATTGGTTCCATCGTATGGAAAAATGTTTCAAATTTCGCGGAGAATACTTCGAAAAGCAATAAATACATTTTTAAATAGTAATGTTGTGTCACTTCCTTGATTCCCGAAATTTTCAGTGCCGCCCTCGTATATATATATATATACGACGCTCTCGATTTGTTTATATTGAAGTCAGTTGTACAAATTTTTTAATTTTACCACTTGTAATCAATACACGAGTTTAAAAAGAATTACATTCGATATTCAAACAGGAGCGGCGAGGAGTGTTGAAATTCAGTGCGCCCCATGTATTGTGATTATTTATAGAGATGGGCCGAATATTCGTTTTATATTCGGTATTCGGCGTATGTGGCAGCTTTACCGAATATTCGTATTCGGCCGAATATTCAGACCGAATATACCAAACATTCGTTGAAGTGTTACCTACTCCAAATGTCCACTGTATTGAAATGTATGAATTGAGTAATGCCACGTCTTTAATAATTTTACTGTTGAAAGTATTATGCTAGTGTAGTATATTTATGGGTAAAATCTACTTATATAGCGTTATGTTTTTGAGGCACTGTGGATTTATTTCCAAATATAACAAACAGAAAGCTTGATTATTTATTTTTTGGAACATACAAAAACATTACTTTACGTTAGTACATTTCACTTTACTTCGGTCGTTAGTTTCTCTAAAATAATTCCAAATAGTAGATCTCCTGCCACTCACTTTTATCATATTATAATTATCTATTTTCACTAGGAATAACACAACGAAATACTTTTTTTTTGACAAAAATAGTCAAAAAATTAGCGTGTGCCGGTGAATTGTTCGGTACTAGATGATGCAATAACATGTCAGGTGTTGCGGGGAGCGAGGGGAAGGGCTCGGCGTTAATCCTGCGCGCTTTATGGTAACTAGTTTCGACATAAATGGTGATCCTGCAGAATAATATTCGGCCGAATATTCGGTTCGGTAAAAGTTTAACCGAACGTTCGGCCGAATATTCGTATTCGGTGAAATCCATATTCGGCCCATCTCTAATTATTTATCTACTGTCCTTATCACATAAATGTTACATTAATAGCATATTCTGTACAGTTGATAATCATAATTAAATGGTACCATGAACAGGATAACACAACCATTTCTGTAGCTGAACCACTACTATTCAATTTGTTGTAGAACTTTGAATATACTTTCATTATATTCATTACTTTTTAATCAGTTTCTCCATCTTAGTCCTTAAGGAGACAAGCCATTTACTTTTTGATTCATAAGTAGATAATGGATGATTTATTGTCAGGTGAAATGTGTACCTGTTAGTCACTTTAAAAAATAACACATTAAGTATAAACCTAGAGTTGTTAAGGACACCAAGTATTATTAGCAAAAAAGATATTGCAGTGCAATTACAATTATTCCAAGATTCAATATTTGTTGTAATACATAATCTTTAATATTTCCTTGAAATATTTTGTTTTAGAATGGACGAGATTTCCAAGAAGGCAATTATTATGACGTTATTTACAACAGCCTTAAGAAAGTTATATCAGAAAAAGATATAGAAGTTACAAAATTGGTCTTTCAATGTTTTCAGGCTTTATATGATGTTCTTCCAGAAGATGTCAAGGTATTTTTATTCATACAGCCCGAACGGATAAAGAATAGAATTAGAAATGGCGCCTCATCGAGCCCGTACCGTCAATATACATAGTACCAATAGACCTGCTATTGACGTTATATCGTTATATTATTCACCTAATTTTCTAGTTATGGAAAAATATTTGAAAAGAATTGTATATCCATATTAGTTTGAAAATAACATTTTTCATAACACGCGACCCGCTATATTTAAACTTAAAATAATCATTAAAGACCATGCTATCTATATTTCTATTCTAATAAAACCTCTGGTAAATTTTTGTCTAGATCACTCTTTGATTCAGTCATTCCGAAGATGAACACGGACAGACAGTCGACGAAATTTGAAAAATGGTTACTCATGTTCCAATGGTACGCAAATATTTTATAACAAATTATTAAAAAACAAAATCAACAAAAATATGAAAAAATCTCTCAAGAATGTATCCTAGCTTACAATTTAGCAAAACAGGACTGTATTTTTTATAGGCATTTTGTTATTATTGATTCCAATGTCAAGTTGGACTGAAGTTATAGAATGTACGAAAAACGCAAATCGCAACGTATTTTTTGCAGTCTTCATCGGCGGGTGTGAGTATAGATAGCGACAGTGTGCGAAAGAGAGGTGAATAGAAGCAACGCCATTTTCAATCCCATTCTTTATCCGCACGGGTAGTAGCTCTTTCATTTCATGGTACTAGCTAGCCCAACTGATATTTTTCTATAGTTCCCAGTAAATAGCGCCATGAATTTCACTTTGGACTAATTAGTGTAATTATAAAATTTATTGATAACTATTAGTTCGCGGTTATTTTATTTAATTTACAATTTTTTATTCAATTACAGGGAACCCCATCCGTATCGTAAGAATCTCCCTCCGTTTTATTTCAGAGAATTACATATAAAACAATATAACATATATAAGTATTTCTAAAAAGCTGTCGCCAGAACAAACACTTAAGATTAAAGTTTAAAGTAAATCAACAGTTCTCCAATAAAATAAAACCTAAATTAGCACGAACTACCTATGTTTATTGCATCCACTCCCAAAACCCAAAAACTACTTTGTTACTCAAATTTGGATATTGTGGAGGTGGAGTTTAATCACAAGATTATCTGAATACTGGTCTTACTGGTTCTTATTATTATTACATTTATTTATCTTATATTATACATTATCTGTATGTAAAAACTCCCTTGGTATGATATTGTATAATGCACGAATAGATCTTTTCTGGCGTAAATTTTTCAATATCAGCTACCGATCTTCACAACAATAATTCGTAGTATACCACACTATCGATTTTGCTGAAATAAATCATTGTTTGTAATTTTATTCTTTTTGCATCACCGTCAGAGTGGTTATCTTTGATCGATACAAATATCAAAGGATAAATAATTTACAAATAGTATCCAAATTATATGCGATACTATATCATGTAAACATCGTAATCGTCATCATTACACAGCCCTTAAAACGTAATCCAAATAATATATAAAATTAATAACTTTACTTTTTGCAGCATACAAAAGTAGAAGACATGTATGTGAATGTCCTTGATCAACTTTATGTTGAGTCAAATTTGTATAGAAAAGCGGAATGTATAAATTTTACGAGGATATTGATAACAATGCTCAAGATCCATTGTGCTAGTAGAAGTGTTTTTTTGACTATCATAGGAGACAATTTAGACTTATGTTGCAACGAGACAGTGGCTGATATACTACTTCATAAAATTTTACAGGTACGCATATAATAGATGTAAATGCTCAGATCAGTGACGAGAAACGGCGTAAAAGATGCGAAACTTCTGGCACTGCAATCGTCTATCCGCCTACCGACCGTGATGATTGAAGAAAAACCTTCAGAGAGCAATGGAATGTAATAAACGAGATAAGAGTCCATCTGATGGTACGTGGGTACTGCAACACAAAGACCTGAATTTTACTTCAAATAAAGAAAGTTACAGTTGCATTTCCGGTTCTGAAAACAAAATTTACTTATTATTTTAGAATGCAATAAACAAAAAGGCAATGTAATTGAATTGAAGCCTCACAGGCTATTATCCATACCCTCAAAACACACAACTTCTATGTTCGATTACATTGTACATAATATGAATTTCAAAACATAAGTACATTAACTCTCATGCCTATCTTCCACAACGGTAGGCAGAGGTAACCAACTTCCATTTGGCATGATTCTGACACTTCGCACTTTTTCAGATCCGTATATCTACGTATAAGTGCTTGTCAGTTAGACTTTTAATTTGACCCATCTTCAACAAATCGTCAATTTACGGCCGGTCTCAATAACCCATCTGACCTTTACTGGAAATCCAAATGTCTACCATTGGTATCTTTAGTTACATTTTTCCGTTTCAGTAATCAAACATAGATAGAAATATTTAACCATCACATTGATCTACCGTTCGGAAGGCTACTGACTGCCTGCGTTGAGTGGGTTCATAAAAAATAAAAAATAAACAGCTGAGCGTTTCAACAACGTTTAGGCAGTTAGCTGGCGATAGTTCAAATGACCACATATCGGAGTTTTGTCTCTCGCCCAATTTTGATAGGTAGCAAATATTTTTCGTTTTTAAATAAATAAAACCTATGATAAAAGTAGTAATGAAATTAATGAGATCAGTTTTTGATTCCGGAGGTATTGCAGATACTGAAAATCGCCGAGTTTATACTCGAATAAACTACATACTTAAGTGAATTTTCTGACTCTGGATTTACATATAGATTTACATTAAATAAAACGTCTGTGGATGAATTATTATTGATATTAATTTCACCACACTAAAAAGTAATTTCTTCGAGGTGAGTAAAGAAACAAAATTTGGTTACATATTGTTACGAGCTTGAGGTTCGTGACAATAAAAACTGCCGATTGAATTACCAAAATTAACACTTATTACCGAACACCAATTAAAACTTAAAAGACACTAATAATTAATCACACTGATTCACTTTATTTCGCTCCGAAGCTTCGCTTGTCTCGCCAAATTCAATACTGCCTCGATCGCGACTTGCAGCGCCTTTAAATACACATTTTTCACCGAAACATCCAGAATATTCAAGTAAATACGGGCGTCAACCGACCAGGCGCAGAAAGTTCGAGTGTGGGGCTTCTAGAAAGCTTAATTCTTCTGTTCGATACTAGATGGCGCTGTTGGTAGAAAGTCAAGATTGTCATTTTCTAGGAAGCCTTTTTCACTTTGGTCCCCAACACTAGATGGCCCTAGTGCCAGGTACCTTACGTCAACTTAGTCGCGCAAGACATGCTCGTCCCGAGCATTATCGGTCCCATAATAACGCGCCAGGCGATCCACATGGACGATCTTAGGAGTCCCTCTTGCGCCTTTCTGAAACGGCTCCGCAATGTCAAGGGCTGTCCTATCCCATGGTGCACCAACATTGTACAATTTCGATGCTCCTCTACTACGTGTCTGAGGTCCTTCACAGCCGCACAACTTTTACATGTGCGACACCAATCCTCGACATCGTGACGATAATGGACCCAGTAAAACTGTTCTCGGATATTCAGTAGAGTTCATTTAACTTCCTGATGAACAACTATTATGGTACAGCTGTAGAACATTCGGCACTTTAGATTTAGGGACAACCATTTGTAAACGACAGCTGTCTCGACCATTGTCCCATTTACGGCACAGGACTCCATCCTGAATCAGCAAGCTGCCCCATTGGGCCCAATAGCTTTTAGTGGTCGAACTCATCGCTGAGACGTCGTTCCACTTGGGCTTGGTAGCACGGGCCTTCATCCATCCCAGAATCGGCTTGATGTCCGGATCTTCCTGCTGTGCATTTTGTAATCTGTCCTTCCACTCGTTGCTGAGGTGGTCTGTCCTGAGCATCCTCACGGATACCACTTCCTTACCCTCTTGCCTAGTACTGTTCTCGCAATCATCAGGATAAAGTCTTCTTGACAATGCATCTGTGTTGCCTCGCCATTTCCCGCTGTAGTGTCCGACAGTAAAGTCGTATCCCTGCTGCTGCTGGGCGGTGCTGCAAGCCGCACTACCCTCCCGAGATCGATCACCTTCCCTTTTTACAGATCGCTTAGGGCAGCTGGATCGAAGATGGCCCCCTTTCCCAACAGCCGTAGCACCTAGGGTTGTACCCAATATTACGGTCGCGAACTGTAGCTGCTGCATCCTCCCTGATGCGATGTAAACGATTATCCTGCCGCACGGCTTCCACCTCCAGTGCATGGGCCAAGGCGTCCTTAAGAGTCTCGTGGTGCCCGAGCCTCACAGCAGCTCTGAATTCAAGGTCGCGGATGCTGTCGATGAATGTCTTTACCAGGTTCCCTTCAATGAACGCAGGTGCAGACCGGTATGCTTTTCGCACCAGCTTCTCCACCTCTAGAGCCCTTTGCTGCAGGTTTTCATTGACGTGCTGCACGCGATCTTTAAGCTGCGCACGAAAGACGTGTTCCAGGTGAGCGTCGCCATATCTCGCCTCCAATGCCTGAAGGAGCTGCTCATAAGTCACTTCCTCACCGAGAGGTTCCAGAACTGTTAAGGCCTGGTCGCGCAGGCCTAGTGTGAGAGCAGTCATGGCCTGACTTTTACTCCAGCCGTTCGCTTTCATGACAGCCTCGAACTGGATTTTGTAGGCCGACCAGGAAGAAGTCCCGTCGAACGGCGGCACTTTGAACCCACGTAGCGAAGGTGTAGTAGCTACTACGGGAGCTGTATTTCCATCCCCAAGTTTGAGTTCGTCCAGCGCTTTCTTCACTTGGTTGATTTGGGTTTCAGCTTCCGACAGGCGGTTGTCATGTTGAGCAACCTTATCTTTCACCTCCCTTATCTTCTTTCCGAAGGTAGCGTGAAGATCTTTTATGAGGAGCATCTGCTCTTCCTTATCGCGTTGGAACTGCTCTTCTAAACGAAGGGCCAGTTCCTCCTGCCGGCGGGCCAGTTCCTCCTGCCGGCGGGCCAGTTCCCCCTGCCGGCGGGCCTGTTCCTCCTGTCCGCCCCGCAGCTGCTCTTCCAATGGCGGGCCTGTTCCTCCTGTCCAATGTCGGGCCTGTTCCTCCTGTCCGCGCTGCAGCTGCTGCAGCATCACCATCAGAGCACCTAAGTCAGGTGCCACAGACGTAGGAGCTGCTGACGGGCCGGCCTCCGTGGCCGGCGGCTGGCCCTCAGACATCTGCGGCGTTACACCACCAAATCTTCTTTGGTCCGTCCCCTGCTGGCGTTGACTTCGGGTACGGACACCTTCCGTTTCCTCCTTAAGTAAAATCGGCATGATTTTATCCCACTTCTGACACCAATTGTTAAGAGCTTGAAGTTCGTGACGATAAAAACTGCTGATTGAATTACCAAAATTAACACTTTTATTACCGAACACCAATTAAAACTTAAAAGACACTAATATTTAATCACAATGTATAATAAATTTTGTTAAGAAATAATGAAAAAATGAAAATGAAAAATGAAATGAAAAATCTTTATTCGGTATCTTTTACATAGTAACATAACTAATGGCCGGAATCTCCTTTTAAGTATGATACTTGTGTTAGGAGACTCCGCTCCTTCCCAAGATTACAAAAGATACATTGTGCTATAGTAAGTATTACCTACAGCAAGATATATCAACAATTAGGATTAAACGGTGTCAAAAGAGAAGCATTATGGTTAATAGTTAAGTGCTAACTTAAGTAAGCGCAAAAGCAATTAATTAACAATTTAATTTAAAAAAAAAAAAAAAAAATTGTTAAGTTTATGATGTGTGTGTGTGTGTGTGTGTGTGTGTGTGTGTGTGTGTGTGTGTGTGCGCGCGCGCGCGCGGCGTGTGTGTGTGTGTGTGTGTGTGTGTGTGTGCGTGCATGTGCGTGTGTGTGTGCGTGTACGTATGTGTGTGTGTGTGTTGTGTTTGCATGCGGGTGTATATGTGAGTTAGTGAATAGAATTATGGCTATATATTACACAGCATATGTTAATGTAGGATAAGATTCTCAATTTCATCATAGTTTTTACCTCGAAGCCAGCTCTGTAGTGTGTTCTTGCACGTGTGTGTCATTGTAGGGTAAAAATACAGAATCTTATTTAATTTATTATAAATATGTGCAGATTGTCTTCTAAATAGTCTCCTAGCGTAGGCAGTTTTAACGAGGGTTACGGGTGCAACATTTAATATTCTTCTTTTATTTTGTCTAGAGGGGTTGTAGGGCAGTTTTCTGTGAAGTTTTAGAATCGCGTGTAAAATGTAAAGTTTCCTTACAGATAGTAGGCCACATTGGGAATATAGACTTACGGTTGGAAACCTATAAGGTTTAAAATAAATCACTTTAAGCAAAGATCTATGAGCTCGCTCTAGTTCCAGAAATTTGGTTTTGGTGGCTCCACCCCAGACTGTGATAGAGTAAATAAGGATAGATTGTGCTAGCGATATATATATTTGTTTTAATAAATCTGCATCGGCAACGTGTCTCAAAGTTTTAAAAATCCAAGTTAGTTTGCGAATTCTGCCAATCAGTAGGTCAATGTGGGCACTCCAAGCAAGGCGCTGGTCAACCATTACTCCAAGATATTTGGTTTTAGATATTTTATCTATGCTATCACATGAGCAATTTTGGTTGGAGAAATTGTTACATGAGTGAATTTTTATTTGAAAGTCTGTATTTGGCTGAGTACTGTTATAATTTGTGAAACATATATAATTGGTCTTAGAGGCGTTTAAAGTCAATAAATTTTTATCTAACCATTGA